ATACCAAAGGACGGGATGACTTTGGTCAGTTCATCCAAGAATACTTGCGCCTTCTCCGCCTCTTCGAACATGAGAACGATGTCGTCTGCATATTCCAGATCGACAAGGTTTTCTTCCGGATCCAAATGAGTGATAACTCAAAGTAACAGACAGTTTGGGTGCTCCTGAATGGCTTCCCATAAAGAGTTGTTTTTTCATCACATAGTCATCAGGTAAAGCTGATTCAATCCGCACTGAAAGGAAACAAGCTGTGTTTTACGGCCATTTAGGATTTCTTGAGAAGTCCCGGTACCGGAACATAAAAAAACGGAAGGATACCGGAATTCGAGACCCTTAAGACAAAGTTCAAATTTAACGGAGATTAAGGTGGTTGATAGATGAAATTGTTCACCGATCGTTGCTCCGGTCAATTTTAATTCCGCTTTGTTGTTTGACGTGGCTGAAAGGTGGTTCAGCGCTCTTCGATTCACATAGAAGCATTGTTTGAAGGAGATAAACGGTCATTTCGATCAGAAAATCTCATCTGAACTAGCGTTACGCCCTAGCAGAATTTTATACGCAATATAGTGATGTGTGTAGGTTCTGTATACTCGTTCACAACTGGTTACCCGGACCAAATCCCTCAACCCGCGCAGTGAGCAAATCCCTGCATAAGAGCTGTGAGCCTAAGGCTGGCTCATTGGTCACAAGTTGGAAAACTGAAAAGGTGAACTATTAAGAGAGCAAATAGGAAATAATCAAAGTAGCCACACTCACACGAAGCGTGTATCTTTCTACCTCTTATTTAATATGCAATTTTGAGTGGTGATACGTACTCATCATCCCTAAGCGTACTACCCAGATCAGCTAGCAAAATCAAACCCACCTGTGCAGAATTAGCGTCCATAACTAGCCCAACCGTAAACAACAAAAGTTTCGCATTAGGCTAAATGAAATTCAACGCCGCAGTGCAAAACAAGCTTACACTTCTACGAATATATCAAATGAATGCATAAAAAATGGAGGAAACGTCTCCCACATCTTTAGTACACCCTACATTAGCTTTTGTGCATAAACAGTCGCGGATTCAACCACTACAGATAGTTCCACCATGTTCAATGTAGCACTAGGATGACCCGCGAACTGTCGCGACACACAACCTTACGAGTAGTGTGTTATACTTCGAGATTACGGTAAGTTATACATCGACCTACAGATTAGAACACCGGTTGAGCAATCCTACGAATTTAGGATCCATAGAAAACTGACAGCAGATGATGGCAGAAAGTTTGCCTACCAGACCCAGATTGAACACAACTAAGGCCTCTAGGCCATCACAAGTTAATCGTAGGCATGACGGGACAAGCAATAGCCTTTCTAACAGAATTTTGAATTACACGCGTTTGAGAATGCGCACTCTGTAGGGGAGACACTAGGACCTGGTACAGGATGAGTTATCAAGACGTAGGAGGTGCATACGAATCGACAGATATAAAAAATGCATTATTAACATTCATGATGACGGTCAGGACAAAACTCACGCATTGAGCGAGTCGGTTGCCTCTCGAAGCCGGTGAACTTCCGCTGTGACTAACGATCGAAGAACAGCACAAGCCTGGTTCTTCGATGCTAAAACTCCCAGTGGGACGAGTACAGTGAATAAGTCTTTCACTTCGCCCTTCAACAAGGGCACAGGTAACTCCGTTTTACCTATTGCAATTTCTGTTGGCACCTGAGACAATTCCTTCCCAGCAGGCACTTGTTCGTGATATATGAATTCGTTGTCCTTCACAGCCACATCGCGTTCACGCTTGATCTGATCCGCCATTCCTGGTCGGGGGAATGAACTAGAACGACTAAGCGGTTTCATAAGTTCGTATGCCACCTATGGAAGAGGACAAAGTCGAAATCGTTTAAATCACAGGGGTAAATTCAGAACTACAAAGTAGTTCTCCTAGAGCAATAACTACAATCCTTCAAAACATGTGCATGCGTTATCACGTCGGTATTAGTTTGAGTTTCACGGACTGAGAAGAACCAGTGGTTCCTAGTGGACTACAGGGTACCAATCTCAATGAAACATGCTACTGATAAATGATCAAAGCAATTTTGATAGGAAGAATTCGACCAGTTCGTGGTGTCGGATCGTCAAGGCGAAAACAGACTATGTATTTCCGTCCTAGGGCACAGTGGACCGGACGCAGGTGAAAAAAGCGATACAAAACCAAATGACCATTTAAATCCGCATAACGTTTCGGATTGATTGCAACAAAAGCAACCGGTTGAAATCAATTATCATTCCTACTTGTCAACCACATGTGGTTTGCAGATAGCAGACGAACAGGTTAATATGTGGTCCGAAGACAGCAGCATAATAGAGGCCGAAAGAATGAAGAATGAACATAGTGTTGGAGCTATTCGAACGAAACGCAATATCAATGTAAAAACCACTCCTGTGGTGCACCATATAGGAGCAATATGTGGGTACTGAAGTAAATCGTTCCGCAATCATTCAGTATCCGAAATTTAAAATATTTCTTGTAGACAAGGTCTTCTCGACAACTGCACCCATCAGTTTCATCGAGCAGAAGCAACATCAATACGACAGATGTAAACGACAGTGTGAGAAATCTGGGGCCTAACTGCAGAAAAACCATGCTACTTTACTAAAATAAAGTCCTATAATTGAAAGAAAATAAGAGGTGTAGTAGTAGCCTATCAAAACCCAGCATCACAACAAAGGTTAGGGATTATATCATGCGACGCCTCCAAACAAGCGCACGGAGGATCACGGGAATCTTAATGCGGCAGATTAGTCGTAATACCAACATCGGAACATTTCATGATGGCTTTCAGTTCTTCATATCGTATAACAGAATGTCTACCACACATGTAAGAATACGGTGACTTTAGCTCAAACGACTTACTGTCAGACGAGCAACCTGTTCTCCAAAAGCCTTAGCTTCCTGGCAAGCTTTGGACTGGTAGTATTGAGCAAGGGCGGCATGCAGCCCGGCCTTCATGGAAAGGCTGCTAGACCATTCCTTGATGAAAAACGGTGAGTCATAAGAGATGACACCTACCCGAGGAATGTGCGGTTTCACACTGGATACCGAACATCGTTTGAGACCATCTTCGTAGAGTTCTCGCGTTTTCGAAGCAAGCTTGGCGACCAATGCCGACGGCATGTTTGCTAGACCGACGACCCATCGGTTGAGAACTCACCTTTAAAAACCCGCTTACCTTGTTCGGCTTTGAGGAAAACACATTCTTGTGCTTGGGCCTGCATGACCACTGAGTACGTACTTAGTATATCGACAAGGTTATCCCCTGAGGATCCAAACATGGAGGAATTAGAGGCCAAGTAGTCGAAGGCGCCCGCTGCAAGCTGTGGGTAAACAACACAAGAAAGTGCTCATGAAACTTGCTCCACAATTGTAGTTTCACGTAGGCAGTGCGTTTATGGTTGAAACGACCGTGGAATATTCGGTTCATCCAGCCCATGAGAACAATGGAAAAACTAGAATCTGTGGTTGCGTCCGAACAAAGGATCTCTTTTGTGGTTGATGTTAAGAATGATACTTCGACTAATGGCGAACTACGCTCATTTACAAATTAAGTTGGTGTTAACGAGGAACTTAATTGAGTCTCTTGTCTATGATATTGTTCAGCTAAATGTGTTGGGCAGAGGCTACCTTATGTTTCATTTGGCACAATGGCCACCCGGAGACTACGCCTGCCCGCTGAGCCTTAAGAAGGTTGAAACTGGTCGTAGGCTGTCAGAGTTTTCGCCAGTCTTAGAAGTGGCGTGATAAGCAATGAAAAAAGTAATTCGATTACTTGGTTATATTAAAAGAACTTGATAGACAGGAGCTGTCAAAAGTGCTCGTAAGTCGCCACAGATTAGGCGACTCTGTTTTTCATCGTACAGGTTATTGGGTGGGAGGCTCAGTGAAGGCATCATTGTTGAGTTTGGCATCTTCGAAATGAAGTCTCGAGGTAGGAAAAATCTGCCGTGACCTTGGAGTGGGACGTTTACGCTGCCTGTAAAGGTACATAAAGCCCGCAACCTATCTGACGTGTTCGCGTGGAGGGTGAATAGGACGTTTGTTAGGTTTCTATCTAGGGAATTCCCTAACAGACGTCCATTCCGAGATCAAGACAACAACGTGAATGGTTACAAGCCAATTATTAAACGACAGGTCAGGATACGGTAAAAGGCGATGACCACATAGTCATAGGTGATAAATTTACGTGACATAGTAGCTGAAGTGAGCCCAACTCCAAATCCGTAAACCGTCAATAACAATGTTTAGTAGATAGCTCAGAATAAGCGGTGAGAAGGAGTAATTATCTGCTCCGTAGAGACAGCATCAGTTTTTGATGGTAGAATGAGGCCCAATGACATCCGTTGTGCCACTCAAAGCTATCGTGAGAACTTAAAGGATGGCTCAGGCGTGCATGGCGGAAAAGGTAATGCTTTAAACGTTAAGATGTATCAGGATTTTGTCAAATTCGACAAGATCTTAAGGTGCGCTAATACGATTACTGACATCAAATTAAGGCATTCTGGGAATTAGGGATTTCAGCAATAAATTGAACACCATAAAAAAGTTGTTCAGCTGTAACACCCTTCCGGTGCATAGCTGTCACGCCACCCGAAGGAAGTACGAAGGCTGGGATATTGCCAGTTTGTCCAAGCCCAAACAGGGGAAGTTGAGAGGCAGAGATCGGACTTGAATCACGGACCTTCCGGTCAGCGAATCCACACTCTAACCACTGAGCCATCTTGCCCCCGTTGGACATCCTCCCTTGAGACGTTTTGACCTCATACCCACACACCTTTATATCTCTAAAAAGACGTTCTCCTGAGATGCCTTTAGTTGGCTATCGAGGGATGAATGACAGTGGGACATCTTGGCAAGAGAAAAGTATAGGTCGGCTAGTTGTCGAGCTGCCTCATTGTATGCAAGTAACACGGTTGCATCCCTGATGGTGTGCGGAAACCAGGTAATCAAGAAACTTAAAAACAAAGAAACCTAGCTAACCAGAGGGCAAGCATTGTACAGTCGGTTTGATGACAATACTGAGTCCCTATCCTGGAGTTTTTAGAGGTCCATGGGTAACGCCTAGTTTTACAACGGTTCAATCAACGGTAGCGGATGGCCAAAGAAAGATTTAGTTTACGTGGAACATTATCTATCGTCGAAAGGCTCGTATTCATTCCAGCATCTTCTGGCAAAGTTCATAACCGCTTCTGGCTCCAATGAATGAATAAAAACAGCTGGTTTCGTGTGAACCGAACGCTACAGCACATTTCCCATTGACCACTCGAATTAGTGCGTATCCTATGTGCGATAAGGGAGCACTTTGGAATGATTGTTCCGTCCCTAGATGAATAAACCAATTGTTGCGTTTGGCTCTGGATTGGGTGCATAGGTTCATAACTTGTTGCTTACATAATTCGGTGTTGATGGGGCAAATGGTGAGAATTACCGAGGGGAACGTTGGTAACCAGCGAAAAGTCAAGGTCATCATGGACGAATATCCTTACACAGATCGAAGTGAATCATGCACACACACTCACACACACGCCAACAATAACACACCGATGGTGTCATCTCACTCGGTGGGGAAATGTTTGTACCCGAATTGCCAAATTCAGAGAACAGACGGATTTCCAGTGGCTCAAACCGACTCGTAGATGTAGAAGCTAAATTGCGGACGCCATCACTTTGTAGGTGCATGAAACGAGCTTTAGTGAAGACCTCTTGGGTGAAAATCACTTTGTTTGAAGTAGAAAATTGACCTAGGTAGGCAAACAAGACGCGGCAAAAGATGGTACAGGAACGCGGGCTCTCCTAGGTGGTCTTGCAGAGAGTGGAAATTCTCAATTCAGAGTGGATTATTTTCAAGACTTCCTGTTCTAAGGCATGCAAAAACAACTCCTTAACATACTCAACGATGCTCATCGCTATCTCAATTCAAGTGGATTATTTTTAAGACTTCCTGTTCTAAGGCATGCGAAAACAACTCCTTAACATACTCAACGATGCTCATCGCTAGTTTTTGAGTAAAAACGAGACAACATTGCACCTACCTTCAGTGAGATAACAGCCTGTTTCAGACCAGCAGCATCTTTGGTGTCAGCGGACTCCGCGATTTGAGAATGCATGGCAGCATAACAAAATATTAAATTCGCCCGTTCAAACTGACTGGTGCAGAGCTCTAGTTGATGCGTAGGAGATAACTGCTCTTGAAACGAACCTACTTTTCTGCTTGCCCGTTATATCGGTCCACTTCCAATCAATTCGAGCCTCCGTCTCACACATGGATACTCGAGGCTCCAAAAGCAACAGAGTATCATGATAACTGAAGAGGAGACGAAGAATAGAAAGTGTTTCATGCGGTTACTAAGCAAGTAGCACAATGAAATGAATAAATATGAATTTGCCATTCATGCAACCTCATGTTGTCTAGTTGCGTAGAAACAGGTGGGCACTCCAGAGCCACCGTCTTTAGTGTACTTGTCCTCGGTAATAAGGTTAATGCCACGGGGGACAGGATGGCTTAGTGGCCAGAGCACGAATTTACTGACAGAAAGGTTCGTGGTTCGAACCCAACCTCTGCATCTCGACTTTCCCTGCCTAAGCTTTGGCAACCTGGCGGTGCTCCAGCCTTCGTGCTTTAGGGTAGCACGGCAGCTAGACACCAAAAAGGTGTTGCAGCTGAACGATATATATGTATATATGATGCCATGGTTGTTTCCGCACTACGTTCTTGCGCCACTTTTGAGAGTTGGAAGAATCACGGTAGAAGTGCTCCATTCCACCAGTATTCTGTGTTCGTTCCGAATCTTCTACAGTGGTAGCGCCAGACCGCTTATCAGGGCTTCACCACCTTGTCCCATTGAATAGGTGATATCACACTCTAAATTTCTGCTTTCGACGGTGAGCTGGCTTGGAAAGACACTTCGAAAACTTGAGAGCAAAGCTTCTTTCACCTTCTCCTTTCATCTTCTAGCCAGTCTTAGTCAATGTGTCCATGCATTTCCAGAAGCTTTCCTGCCAGATCAGCTCGATACCACTGAGCTACTGAAATTCTTTAAAGTTGATGAACAGAACTGTTCCCCTTCGGTGTGTGATCTTGAGGGAAGGGGAACTGATGACCAAGACCGCATAGTGAGAATCGGAGTCAATTTGCGATGTAAGCACATGTGCCGAAAGTATGTACTGCCAGGAACAGAAGAAGTACCGAACAAAACTGAAGAGGTAGCTCCCCACTATCCGTTGGATAAGCATCAATTCCAAATTTACAACCCGATCGTGCTTCTTCCGGACTTATTAGTCTAAATTGGGTGTTAGTGTCACCCGTCAGGATGACTTTATCCGTCATTCTTGCTGACTAAAGTAGCGGTGACAGATCTTGATAACATCAACCTTTCTCAGTTTCATAACCTTAGTCTGTGAGGAGCGCATGCTGACACGATAAATAAACACCATTTAACGTATCGACGCAGACTGATCTTAAATGAAGCACAGAGAAACAGAGTAGGGCACTCTCAGTCCCAAAGGTTGACCACGATCCCCGCATCATAGATACCACGAACCTTGGTACTAGGATTGCCTGAATATATATATATATATATATATATATATATATATAGGGTTAGCTGTCTAACCCTAAACGAAAAAAGCAGCAGAAATTCAGCTTGTCGCATGTACGCGTTGCAGTAGTCGAGGTGCTGAAGATGGGTTCGAGCTATGACCTTATGGTCGGTAAGTTCGCGCTTGAACCACTGAGCTAGGTTGATCACCAAACCCCGAAAAACGAACATAGCTCGGTGGTCAGTGCGCGAACTTACTGTCCATGGTTCGAAAACAACATCCGCATCGCGACTGCTCCTATCTAGGCTTGGGCAACCCGGCAGTATCCCAGCCTTCGGATGGGGTGATATCTAGGCATGGAAGGAGTGTTGCAATTGAGGGATTTACTTACCATAAAGAGGGGAGTGAGGAACATCTAAGCTCGTCCTAAACGGCTTGAGATGCATAACCAAAGTAGGGTCTCGTGAACGTGTTTCGGGGACACAACATATATCGACAGAAAAGTAACATTTCAGCAAAAAGATGCTTTTTGCACGATTTGACACTTGGTGCGGGCATTTGCAGCTGCAACGTGAGTAAGATGTTTTGAGTCTAATAATGGATAATTTCAGCCTTTTTACCGGGTGACAGTTTGGACAAGTAACAGTGGTTAGGGGGCTAGCAGGCAGAGTTGAAGAGTGGTCAGCTGAAAGGTGAGGAGGGGCGTATTGAGAAGGACCGGTGGATGAACGGCTACAAAGTTAGTTGGGATGGAGAAAGGCACTCCATTTGGAGCCTTTCGCCTGAAAAACAAATCCTCAAGGCGATTAGAGAATGTTGGGTTTTGTTCGGGTACCATGAGTGTGGGCCTTGATTCACATGTATGGGACTGTTCCCGGAGCCAATGGTTCAGTAGTCTGACCCACCTGGCTTTGGAGCGAATAACCTAGCCAAAAGATGCAGCGTACTTCCCTTGGTTGACAAATCTTGGCTGAATAAGGTGACAGGTGGCAGAAAATGGTCAGAGATTCGAGCCACATCAGTCTTGGTAGCTCCTCCTGAATACATACAGCATCCCGTTTCCTTTGTCGTTTTTCTTTCTGAAATATGGGCGTAACAGTGGGCAAGCTGAATGGATGCATAGTGAATCAAGGCCTGGGGAGATGAGGACCTTATTGGCACTGAGGAATAGCCTTTTCATCCTGTCGCGATTGTGTTGATGCCTTCCTGATGCCTGTAAACATCACCCGGTCAGTTGATCCACCGTCAAATCTTCAAATTGCCGCGAGACCGTTGATGTATGGGATTAAGAGCACGAGTACCTGCACTAGTCATGAGTTTATTCATAAACAGGTCTTCATCGGATTGTACTGCTAATGGCCTGGCAACCAAGAAATGTCAAATGAAGGAAGTATTTTCACCTACACCGATTACAACTTAAACAACGGCGATCAGAACAACCAGAGGTCTTGGAAAATCTAAACAGAACGGTGTAAATCGGGCGAATGCGGTGGCCGAAAACTCTCAGGTCAGTACGGAATCCATGAGTAACGGGAAGCGATGAACACGAGGTCCAGGTAATCCGACTCAATGCACTAACTTACTCATGATAGTAATCACAATAATTAAACAAGATGGAACCCAAAAATTCATAAGGACTTACTTGGCAATCTGATGGGCGGCGGATAGCGTTCGATCACGCAACCTCTGAATAGTGCCTTTACGTAAATCATTAAGCTTCTCTATTGACGCGGAAACAGCATCTAAAGTTGCCGAACCATAGGTTTTTTCAACAAAAAGTCGGATAGGTCTTTTCAACTCTACATCTGCGGAGGACCGACATGGGACACCAACGAATGCCATTGAAAAGAAAGTCAGCAGTGGACTCAAAGTGCAGTCGCAGGTTAGCAAGAGTCTCAGTGCTATGATTGGTTGTTTCACGGATTCAAGGATTGGTTCACAGGAACGAGGCGTTCGCCCAAGCTTCCGGTGCCGGGTTTGCTCCCGTCGTTCAACGGCCTCCATTCACCTGGAAGACACAAGCAAAAAAGGGTCAACGCCGCTCTTTGAATTCTCAGAATGAGGAGGAAAACTTGACAGCACGAGGGCTCAAATCAGCGTTCAACAGTGGTTTGAACTTGATTCCAGATGCCGCGTGATCAACCTTCGGTGCAAAGTTATGCCATGAACCAATTGTCCGACGTTGGAAATATTTTCACCTTGAAAACCTCGCCATTTCTCCGCCATGCACCAGCCGGTTTAGCGGTAAAAACCCTGTTGTTCAAAACTTGTTGAAGCAGGTTGGCGATACTCCAGGGGAAAGGATACTCGCACCTCATAGTCTGCCGTCCGATGAGGTTATGGATTCTGAGCGTTAGAGTGTTTGCGCCTTTCGCAGGGTAGATGCATGTGCTGTTGATTTTGATAGGTGGTGACTCCTGAATGTTTTAGGCCTCCCTGAACGACGTCTGCTTCATCAATCCAATAAATTACTTCCCATTGAAGCTGCTTGGTAGCTTCTTGCATATCCTAAAAACTTGTTTCAAGTAATTGCAAATAATAATGGCTGGCTATTCAACGTAGCATGAAGTACGCGTTCAGCTGAACAAGTTAGACCGAGAAGGCATAGGGTGAGATTTTCGCCATAAAAAATTGCCACCACTTTTTCGAGCTACAAAGCATTATGTATTCGCCTGTAAATTTCCCTGTCACCACGAATCAGTTGAACCGAGACGGTGCGGTTAGTTGAAAACGGAAGTTTGTGCATATCAGTGCGTGAAACTTGACCAGCGAATGACCCCGAGGAAATGGTTCTTTAAAAAATGACGTATTCGGGGCCAATGACATCCTAGTCCAGGTACTAACTATCATTACCACAGAAGTTTGAATCACAATACTTGCATCGGATGAACACGGTATCCGAGCCACCATCAGGAATGATTTATACGGGTAACCCCGGTGAAGCATCGTCAAGCGCCGCCTGAAATAAGAGGGTCACAGAACGTGAATCCTGGTACCACAATGAGTACACTGAACCAGAAGAACTGATTACCATTGGAGCGCAGCGATACACCAATATTTGGAAAGTCCCGATTTCTATAGTGTTTATTACCCAGCCTCCTATCACTAACTATCCTTCTTGACAGCCCGACCATGGCTACATGATGTAGCGCGAGATGGAGGCGGGGAATCAGTGAAGAATACCATATGTCCAAATTTGTCGCCCATTAGGCAAGTGTCATTTTCAAAGGCGTGTTATTTTGGATAATTGCGTCCAAGAAATGCAAGTGATTGTAATCATTCGGTTTCCAACATTTATTGGTGCTACAAATACACAAAATAGAACAAGTGTAGCAAAAAGTGGATTTACATGAAAATTGTTACAAAGTTTAACTTAAAAACTTTGTAGTGCGATTCACGTGGAAGAACCTAGATCTTTTACGGGTCAGCAAAACAAAATCTCGTGGAAGAATCTGCAAAAATTCAGTAATTTGACAGGCCCAAACATGCAACTGGAAAATTAGCCAGTTAAAAGTTTGGAGACGGAACACTTATGGGTGGAAATAAGAGTTATACTGGTGGGATAGGTGAGGAAAGCTAGTCACGCGTGAGTAGGAAAGAATAATATATCTTTTGCTTTACAGGCGTTCAAAGGCTTCACAAACTCACGTTTCTTTCAGAATGTGGGAGGAGAATATGGTTCAATAAGCCCTTTTACCTTCGCCAGCCATCTACACATTATGCAGTACTATCGTTATATGCGTGTGGATTGTGATTAGAACGAGCACGCCGCCTTTGTTAATTGAATAGGTCATTTTGGTGTGATGTTCTTAGGCCAACGAGATTGGTGGCGACAAGAATTTCGGACCATCTAACGCTATCGCGACAGAGCGCTCATCAACATTCGGAGGCCTTCAGCTCCGTGCATGTTGTTTTATCCTTCACATAATCCAAACCCATTGATTTATTTCAACCTATATATTTCTACGTCTTAATGACGTGGTCGCGATTGTTTTGGTTGGGAGCGCAGGATACCTTGTGCATGAAATGAGTCTTCATTAATCGGAATATCGCGAACCGCCCCAAGGCTTTGCCTGTTTTTGGAAACTGTTACGTCAAATTAACGTCGAAGTCATTACAAACAGTATGCCGTTGTACGTGTGTCGTCGTAGTGTCCTGTTTGGGCCTAACTTTCTGGTTAGCTCTGATACTCGGGTGTCTATGATTGTCTTCATTATAGGGATAAAACCTGTCGCCGCCACGGATGTTACCCGAGGAGGATAACATGCAAGGTTCAGAAAGCCTGTTCTCTTACCGTCTTCCAGTTTGTCCACAGCGTCAAGCAGCAGAACAGTACACCACATACATGGCGACAGGATAATTTATCACGTTGAGCTTAAATGCGTGGCGTTCACGGAAAATCCATTTTCAGTTATGGAGTTAACAATGTAATCGTAGTCTACAAATTTTCGCACACACAAAAATCCAACTGAATGGACCTGGTGATCAGGGTGGAACAGGCAGTTTTTCAGGTAAAAGCAGTTTTGGACCCAATAGCTAAGGCGTAAATGCGTCACTAAAGCATTGCCGAGACCAAAGGAAACTTTTGAAAATTTCCCTCATGATTTTGGTTTGCATGTTTCTAATTTTCAAATCAGCTTCTGACACGTGATGGAAATGATGTTATGTGAAAGCAGTTAGTTGGCATCGCTGCGGTTTTTGAGGCGTATTTATTTATGACACGCGAGCCTGTAATCAACTGATGCTCCCTTCATACACCCGTTGACTTGAGCCAACTACCATTTTCTTGGAGCACCTAAGTGATGGTGCATCGCTGATCCATGTTTTCATTCTTGAGGAGCATTAGTACACTTCCTCGTGTGGCATCCACATCAACCATTCTGAATATTATCATATTGGGAGCTTCGAGTGACTGTTAGAATGAATCCACTCCGTCGAATACTTGAACACGAGGTACGAGTTGTACTTGTCCAAAACAGTCATTTAACGTTTTTGAGTTCCAAAAATGTTCACTGAAGGCAAATTCAGCGATTGGTGTTGCCATGGACGGTAACGTTTGGAAGGCACTGAAAGTTGAAGGCGCTGAAGATCGTGTCTATGGTACGCTCTCTCAGAATGCAATGAATCAACTGCCTATTGGCCAAGAACATGTGATGCAGTGTTCTATTTGTAAGGCCATTTATTTACAGAAAAGGTCATAGATTTTGAACCCCTTCTTTGCCTCAACTGGCTCAACCGCCCAACGTTTTGGGAGACAGAGCATTCTGTTCGAAATGTCAGGCCTTGTGACTTTCTTTTGGCTACACCTTCATCTCATTAACGAAACCAGGTGTTATTCCTCATGAACCATTGTCGAAATTCTCCTCCGTATTTATGGGAGACGGGCACTGTAGGCTCTTTTGTTCCACCGTTCCACCGCATTTCACCCAGACAAAGGCCTATCTCTTTTGTCTCTAGAGAAAAAGTTCTAACATGTGGGACGGTTTATCCAATAGTGGCTCCATTTTCGGAAAAAATGCGAATGTGCGATGGGTTTTTGATCACCGGACATTTGGCATGCCCGGAAGACGGGCCTTGTTTACTTCAGAGGCCTACCACTCCAATGGTGTAGTGTTGAATTTTATACACAATAGCAGTGATTCGGTCCAAGATACGATGTTCCATATACAAGTGAAATCCTATTTCAGACCAGGGTATGCAATGATAGACTTCTTCCCCTTATATTGTGCGGACAAAATCGAATAAGAAACCAACGACTCAGACCAAGCAGGACTTTGCCAGGCTCCTGAGGAAATTTCAGACCAGGACAAAATCGAATAAGATACCAACGACTCAGATCAAGCAGGACTTTGCCACGCTCCTGAGGAGATTACACTTGTTAGATCAAGACCAAGTAGCGACCGTTTTTCTCCTCTGCGCCATCTGTTAGATTTCCACACACATCCTGTCAGGGTATTTTGACGCGATGTCATGATCTGAAACGCCTCAAATGTCTCCCTCGATCCAGGAGGCCTGAGGACAACCGAGCTCACCCGATAGCGAAACGTGTGCGGGTCAGCGAGTGGAAGGTAGCGGTCGGAAGTTATTGTAACAGGCAAGCCGTGGCCGGGTGAGCTCGGAACGCCACAACAAAGTGCAGAATTGGAGTCAGTTCTAGCGATTGGTAAACTGCCCATGGAAAGTCGAATGGGAGGTGACCGACGCCCGGCCCCCGACTGATGGCAAAAAGATGAGGAAGGCAATATTTAGGCATAAAGAGATCGACCATTCGACCCTTTTTTGTGTCCGACTTAAAGAACGATCGGAAGGGACTTAATACAGGGATTTATGGAACCTCTTACCTCTACTGAGGTCATTGAGGAAGCCCGTGTACCACATATCTCTTCCAGTAATAATACTAATATTTATTCCCAACTAGTGGGTAGCATACCGTCAGGCATGACCAGAGTATTACAGTCAGAATAAAATCATGAATGATGGGGGCTGCGAATGATGGGAATTTCCTGGAAAAGGGACAGTGACGTAAACAGTGGTCATTTACGAAGTAGACCTCATCACGACTGAGGTGGCATGGGTAGGGTCTAAAATTATTATCTCCTATGGAGAACATAACAGATGACAAAATCTGATCGTTGGGATTCAAAAGTGGCGGGCAAGAGCAATACGAGTGAGGGCATAACAAAGAGCCTGGAACGGGGCGAAAAACCAAACAAAAGCTCTAAATGCAGGGAGTATGGAGCCAGAAAAATGGATCCAGAGAGGCAGCAGAACCGCCACGACATGGCAGGCCACTATGAACTAAAGCCCAAAACAGTCACTAGGGCTTCATGGCCTTGGGCTGTCGGGCGTGCAGCCACGGAAAGCGTCAGTGGGGATGGTGAATTGAGGTACTGTGCAGTACGGACACATAGTAGTATGAAACTCAGAGTCATGGTGTGCAGTGAGACTTGGGCGACTCACTAGTGTTGCCGCTGGGCGGGAGAACGAGTTCACGCGAATTGTACGAAAATTGACGTATTCGGTGAAGATTGCGAATAAAAGTCGCGGAGATCTTTACATCCGACAGAAGGTCTGGCAAATTGCAATGAACGCCTCCCGGTGGTGACAAATGAAGACTGTCGGTAGTGGAACGAGTGGGCGAGAGGACGCGGTCAAAGTAGGAAGTGGACAATTGCGGGTGTGCTATCAAACTGAGCATCGCAATGCCGTGCCTTCAGTGCACCTAAATACTTCGGTTTCCAGACAGCCCCGTGTCAGACATCGCGATTGAGGTAGTTGGGCTGAGATGCGCAATCCTGTGATCAGCTTGATGTTGTGCGTCTGCCGGGGGTATTCTCGGGGTGAGCAAAACCAACGTAATACCGCGCGTGGTATTTGTTGTAGTTTTTCTCAGGTAAGGGATCCCTTTGTTCGTAATGCACAGATCAGGTGGAGTGGACGACGGCCAAACATGTCATCCGTAGCACGTATTACGACGGGTCGAAGCTTGGGAAGAAGGTGAAATGAGATGAAATGGGACGAGATCAATATGGTCTGGAGAGTTACAGGGGTCACAGACAGGATATAGTCCCTTGATAAGGGAAAAAGAACGTCTACCACAGTTACGGTGGTTAAGCCAGACAAGATAAGGATGGATTTGCACTCAGTAGTGTAGTCGTCAAAGTCAAGCTAAGATTATCAATATAACTTTACTACCTGAGACAGGACAGTTCACTGTGTGTAGGCTAACAGGCGGCGTGGTTAGGGTAACCAAACACGTAACGCCTGACAGGGGAGTAAATTCTGATATGATGGACTAGATTTCCTGGAGGTTATTAGTGAGTTGGACGATACAAGGACAATCTAAGAAGGAAGGTGTATGTAAGGCAGATTGTCACCAATCCCCGGAGCACTACTATCAACTTTAATCCATGAGTGATGCATGACGAATAGTGACTTAATAATGGGTTCCACTTCGCAGCAACCCTAGGAGGGTGGCCGGCAATGGATGCCAAAGAAAAATGGGCACCAACAGTGCTACTTGGCTGGTCACTTTCCTTTGCACCCTGTGGATTTCGTGAGGGAATGGAGTTGGTGTAATGGCCGTTGAACTCTGAGGTTCCCGTTCCTCCTTTTGGCTGTCACGACTTCTCAGACTTTACCATTGTTGCCTCTTATCCTGTTCCTGTTCTCCAAGCGGCCACCAAACCTAATGCATTGAGGAAGGCCTTTGTCTGTGTCATATTGAAACTGGTGTGTCGAAATCTGTTCCATTTCTGGCGCTCCAGTCAAATAAATCTTATGTAACGCATTTGAAACTCGAATGTATCTGCTTGCCCGTTCCTCATATGACCTTACACGTGCCCCTCCCTTTCTCTCTTCCCCCATTGCAGGTACCACGGACGAATCACCACGGGCCCTGAACAGGGAAGAGTACCCCACTTGTACACCCCCTAACTGACCTTGACCCGACCCTG